ACCCATACAATTTTGGTGATTTGACGCACGTAGGTATTATCCATTTTACGTCCAGATTTAATTTTTCGGAGTGTTTCTTTATGAGGTCACTAGTTGTTTTTAGTGTGCTATTTGTTGGGTCGTTTTTAACCTTTTTATAAGTACTTACATCCGACAAAAGTTCTTGTATTTTAGAATTACAATCTAACGTATCCATGACTACCATATGTATCTCCCATTGTCGCCGACAAAACATCAAAACATACTTCAAGCCGCTGAAGAAGATTGGTCAGTTTTTACCATCAGTCAAGTGTAATGTCCCTCTGCAAGATGCAGGAGTGTACAAGCTTGATTGTGAATGTGGTCTCTCCTACATAGGACAAACTAAATGATCAATAAAAACCCGCGTTAAAGAACATATAGCTGATGTGAAGAATCGACGCTCCGGGAAGTCTGCAGTCTGTGAACACGTACAGGATCGCCCCCGTCACTACATCAGATTTGATAGACCGCAAATACTCGCTAAGGAACACCGATTCCTTCCAAGGAAGATTCGCGAGGCTATTGAAATATGGACGTTGAACATCTCAGTCCCGCCCGTGACCATGAGTGCTGTAAAGCGTTCGAAACGTCGGGTATTTAAAAAGTTAAATATACGCGATAAATTCCGTAAAAACTAGTATTATTTCAATAACTTAAATTAAATTATTTTTAGTGGTCACGTTTTGTTAAAAAATATAATTCTTTACTTTTGAATACCGATTCTGATAACGCACCTGACGGTAAACACAGGGTTTTTGTGACATGTTGCATATATATATGTATATTTATTTTTTTTATAGATTGTTTGAACTTTCAAATGAGAGGTTAACAATGGTAATAATAGAAACAACTTTTTATAACGGCTACATATATAATTTAACATCATTTTACAAAAACATGACAATATACATAGAAAACTAATAGAAATCTGTTCAAAATCACAATTAATGATAGTGACACTTCAAACTCTGGTAATAATATTCACATTTTTATTAAGAGGCTAGGATAATTTACCTTAGGCAAATGCTATACAATCTTGTCGTATTCCAGTATGAGTATTTTTTATTAACTGGCTTTACGGCTATGGGTTCTAGCCCTTCCGAGTTTCCAGTATGAGTAGAATCATATTAACCTTTTGAGCCAAAGTCGCCTATACTTGACCAGCACCTGCGGGCTCTGAGCGCCAACGACGTCATAGTTGGCAAAAAACCCGGCCCCCAAAAATATGAAATATAGATATTGGAAAATTATTACTGGTATTTTAATTCTACACTCCTTAAGAAGGAATAACCCAGCAATATGTGAGTTTAAAAAACAAGTCTCTTAGAGCCACAAGTATGAGAACTAAAAAAATTAATTTTTATCTAAGCAAATACTATGTTCAAGCACGCCAAAGTTGTCTACGGTTGACCGCTAGTGTTGAACGCGGGAGGCATAGATTTCTTAAAAACTATCCAAATTCAGCTCAAACGTGTTATTTTTTTCCATTATTATTGATATTTGAATAAAACAAAAGGTTAGAAACACAAAACTATAATTAGCTACATGAATAAAAAAATGTTATCATCTTCGCATAATAAATCTAATATCTCAAATCTGGCGCATCCTTAGCGCGTCATCGAAAATCAGTTCACTGGGCACCGTGGTCAAGGATAGACGCCACCCTGATGACGTCGTAAGTGATTAGCGAGAAAAGTAGCGCAGTTCAACATGAACGATTCCTTAGAACTCATTCGCATTTTGGAAAGCGTCGATGATGATGAATATTGATTTTTGATTGATGAATAGAATTTTTAATTGATTGGTGAATAATTATGTACCATTTGCTGATTTCTATAATAAATACAAAGTACATAATATATAAAAAGAGTTGAAGACAGCTCAAGATTAAATAAAACATACCAGATTAGAGCCATTTGTTGCATACAAAACCTACAAAAACAAGTTATTTTGTGTTATCGATATATCAACTATTGGCAACACTATTTTTTTCATAGGTATTATTGATTACTTTTCGCTTTGGCATACAGAACACGGTAACGCGTTTTGGCTTGGCGCTCAAAAGGTTAGTAATATTTTAATTTAGGAATTAAATTAATGACTGTAATAAAATAAAAAGAGGGAACCTTACAGTAACCGCATATTATGAGTAACATCTGACATCTCACCTTGGTAATAAGCAACATTAATATTAAACTCTAAGAAAGGTTATTTTTTTTAATCAAAATAAAAAAGAATTGAGCAGTCACAGAAATTAACCTCAAATGTATAAAAGCTAAATATTGAAATATTTATTCGAATAATTATTTATTATTACTTAGTAGCATTTTTATCAATGATCTGTAATTTTTATCAACAGTAAGTACATTTATTAACCTAGTTTACACATATTAGTTTATCATCATCAGTCTCATTGATCAAATCAAATAGTGCGCGCTTCCCAGGCTTCCTGTTACACACTTCCGTCCCTTTTCACGAAATCACTCCCACATATTGCGGGAAAGCGAGAGCAAAGATGTTACAGATCAAAAAAAAGTTTCATAAAAAAGGAACGTAACGTAACATAGAATAAATGCTTAGAACAAAGCTTTGTTGCAATATAACTCTTTTTTTATTTCTACATTGTCCCTGTTGATTATTTGTTGTTAAATCAATAAGAGGTTTACAGTAAATGGAAATTTTAATATATAAAAATATAAATAATAATTTTCACATTAGCTTCAAAATGTGATGTTAAGACATAATTTATAGAACAATTAAGGCCTCGAATTCACAAGCTGGCGTATAATTTTTATCAAAAATATCATTTTTGACCCTTTGGACAAAGGTATATATGACAAGCTAGAGTTAACAACTAGAACACCATCTAAATATGTAGTTTCATTGAGCACTTCATTTGCTATTTTTCCAGCCTTGTTATGGAATTATTTTTTTCAAATTTATATGGTGGTCTCCCATCTCCTGAAGTAAAATTGATTTAATAATCATCCATTGTATATAATAGATGATTATTAAATCGATTTTAATAATTTGTAATAATAAGATCCTATTTGTTTCTATTCTCTATTTATACCCTCTATATATCACACAAAACTACGCTAATTGTTTCATTTATCTGTTTCATAATATTGCATTTTATTTGTGATTATTTGTAATATTTTGAAAAAATAAATGTCTTTTCGATAAAAACCCATAGCTATTACCGCGCATAGCGAAACTCACGGAGAAAATTTAAAAAATAATTGAATTCAACCATACCTTGCTCTATGAAAAGAGCAATTCAGTTTTCGTAGAGCACACTACAACATCACAGTTAGTCCGCGTACTGTACTATCTCGCGGCCGAGTACAACAGAGGCCGCATCTGTACGGGGTTCTCTTGGATATGGAGAAGGCCTTCGACACGGTGTGGTATGCAGGGTTACTGTACAAGTTAATAGAGAACACCACCTTGCTGCCGATGCTTGTGCCGATAATAACGTCGTTCCTGGAGGGGCGAAGCTTCCACGTTACCTAGAAGTGGCCGATTCAGTAGTACGACCAATCGAAGCTGGAGTGCCACGGGGCATCTGTATATCACCGCAGCTGTACGTGGTTTACACCGACATCTCCACACTCAGCGACCATCTAGAAGAGTAAGAAGATAATGTCGTCCTCACCTTGCAGCGTCTGCCTTGCGACCAGAGTAGCTGAATAAATGAAGAATGGCAGTCAACTCGGGGAAGACGACCGCAGTCATGATCAGGCAGACCAGACTCCACCTACACTACAGCTCCCGTGGGTTGAAAGAAGACCATTTTAAACCTCTGATGACAAGTAGATTACTCGCTAAACATGACCCGTCAGGTCAACCAGCTCGTGGGGCAGGATTAGGGGATTGATTCACACGAGCAAAATTCTAACCTACCCATAAGAACGAAGATAGGCATCTACAAGACATACGTCCACCTCGCGGTTGACAGCACGCCGCACGCACTCAGCATCAGCCCAAGATGTATAACCATGTATAATTTTGTAGGAAAGGTTCAATAAAATACATTAATAATTGAATAATTGACTGAAATAGACTCGGTTAACCACCATATTAACTTTATTCGTACAGCCTACTAAGAGGATACTATGCATCAGACAGAAATCTTATAACAACGAATACATTTCTTGCACTACGAGTAATCGTTGAGAGCTGACTGCTACGTCAGAAATGTCGTCATCAGTGAAGATCTCAAAATGGAAAGCATACAAGTATTTGTGATCGGTAAAAAATATTAAAAAAAATACAGGTGCTGTAAAAATATTCACTCCTATTAACCCTCTACTGCATATGAACCCATATATGGTTCAACAGATTCAATATTTTTTTTCACTTTATATTGCACAAGCAAAAACTAAACGCATAGTGGACATTTTCATTATTATGTTGGCAATACGAAAATATATTTTGCTGTCTATGGTTTCATTTTCGTTATAACCTCACTGTACTTAGCGCTTGTGCGAAGCTCAACTCGGTGTCTGTAAACACATTTTTCAAAAAAGATTTTCTACGAAGGTAAGTTTTGTTTCATAAAAAAATTTTTTGCATATTTCAATCATATCGGTGCTTTTTTGATGAACTATATATGGTTAATTGTTGATTCTAATCAATAACCATTTATCCGAGGTACCATATAAGGTTTCGTATGCGCTATTAATTTTTTGCATGAATGGCATAACATTTTTTTTCGTTGCTTGCAGAATGGATCCTTCTCGTTTTTATGGCACTCAGAAGCATGTTAATACTATTCCTGGTGATGGCTCGCTTAGTGATGAAGAATTAGCTTCCGATTCTGACAGTGAATATGTTCCCCCTAGGTAATTTCAACGTCACAGACGATCTCTTGTTATACCCGAAACCGATAGTGATTCCTCCGATGATGAAACTAGCCCTCCACCAGCCACACAGAAAAAAGGAAAGGCAAAAAAAGATAAACCCACTAAAATAATATGCGAATCCAAAAAAATGAGGCTTTTGATGAAAATAAGTTTAAATTTACTGGAGTCACACAGTTACCAGAGTTTATTGAAAAACTTGAAACACCGGCATATTTTTTCTTGTTTTTATTTTCTGAGGATTTGATACAAACTATAACAAATCAATCTAATTTAAAATCCGTACAAGACAATATATACAAACCCGCTAACATAACCAAACAAGAAATAGAGCAATTTATTGGCATGGTAATTTTCATGTCTATAGTGAAATTACCTGCGTCACGATATTACTGGAACAAGACTTTAGGACAGCAACAAATTTACGAAACTATGACACGCAATAGGTTTGAAACAATAAAAAATAAATTACACTTCAATGACAACAATAATTATACCCCGTTGGGCAGTCCAGGTCATGACAAGTTATTCAAAGTGCGCCCACTTTTAGATGGCATTAGGGAGCAACTTTTACTAGTTCCCAAAGAGGAATATCTGGTAGTTGATGAACAGATAGATAATCATTACGAAAGTTCGTCATGACCTTAAACAATAAAACCCAGCAAAGCCTCATAAATGGGTATATAAGAATCAAGTTCTTAGTGGAGTTTCAGGATTTAGTTATGATTTTGATATTTTTGCTGGTGATCAAAGTAATACCTGAAGGTGCACCAGACTTGGGTGTTAGTGGCAATGTTGTAACTCGTCTTACTGAAACAGTACCAAGACATGTTAGTCATAAGATCTTTTTTGATAATTGGTTCAATAGCCCTAAGCTCCAGGTACATCTTACAAAGATAGAAAGATACTTTTGCCTTTAGATACAGTGCGCCTGAACAGAGTTCCTAATATAGATATGCCGCCAGAAAAGGAGCTGAAAAAAAGGAACGTGTATTTTTCATTGAAAAAGTTGCTACCATTTATTAAGTTAGTGTTAGTGCCATTACTTGGTTTGATAATAAAGCGGTTAATATGCTTTCGACTTATGTAGGTAGTGAACCGACGACTACAAAACGAAGGTATTTTAGAAAGGAAAAGGTATACAAAAACATTATATGCCCTCAAGCAGTTGAAGTGTATAACCGGCACATGGGGGGGCATTGACTTACTGGACTCTATGCTTGGTTTGTATAGAATTCATTTGAGATCCAAGAAATGGTACAAACGCATATTTTTTCATATGGTAGACATGTGTGTTGTAAATGCTTGGATACTTTGGCGCAGAAACAATCCAGAAGTTTACATGTGTCTCTTTGATTTCAAGCAAGCTGTTTCAGAACACTTACGCAAATCTGGTAAAACCGTAATGGCAAGAAAAAGAGTGCGTCCTGGAAATCACGCTAGAGATGGAACGCCTGATTCTAGGCACGGATGTCCTGCTTTATCCAATTCAGGCACACCAACTATACCAAATAAAATAAGGAAAGTTCCTACCAGAAATCAAGATGCACCTTTAAACTCCGTGAGAACTGACAAAGTAAACCATATGCCTGAATGGATGAAAAACCGTCAAAAATGTCAATTTTGTGGCCAAAAAACTTACACAAAGTGTAAAAATGCATGGTATTCTTGTGTTACAATAACAAACGAAACTGTTTATCCGCGTTTCATGATTAAAATTGTTGTACTTTTTATTTTATATTAAACACTCAAATTTTTATTTGTCGCTTTATTCTTCATACGAACCCATATATGTCTGTACTTTTTTTATTAAAATTTGTTTGAGTGCATACGAACCCATATATGACCTCCTTATTTTTTTCAGTTTATGTAAGTAGATTTTCTTCATTTTCATTTTTGTCATTTTTTATCCCCAAATAAAGCCTAAACAACCATCAAATATTTTTTTTCATGTTTTTCATAATTCATGCAGTAGAGGGTTAAAGATATCAATCAAAATGTTTGTAGTTTCTTAACCAAATAGAAATCATTGAATAAATAAATTTAAACCCAGCGTCATATCAAACGTCAGAACTGCATAAAAACTAATTTCACAAAATTCTTATTTGTCAAATATAGATCTATTTGAATATTTTTGTTTACTGATGCATACGTAGACAGAGAAACATATAGACTAATGATTAGCGTGGCCTCGAGTGAGAAAGGATGATAACATAATTAGATAAAATTTAAACGTATATTTATATAGTTCTGGAACGAAATTTAAAACAACAATTGAATTTTATACGTAATACCAAATACTTACGAGTGAAATGATATACAGGTGAGTTTACGTTCATTATCACTCTTACATCCTAAGACACTACATCTAACCATTTTTAATGTTTTTAATTGTTCTAAGAACTGAACTGAACAAGATTCACCAATCTTAAACTCACAAAACACTTTTTTTCTCACTTAAACCAACTTGTAAACTCCTTAGATCGCTACGAACTATCAAAGTTGTTTAGCAAAGTGTGGTTTGCTAAACAAAAAAAAAACCGGCACGGAAAAGGGACAAACAATCACACCGCTGTCTCATTTCTATGCAAGACGTATGCATAAATCTATCTTTTTCGTGTACGAACGCGAAATAAGGCGTCAATTTGTCTATAGGTTTCTCTGTCTACGGATGCATAGTATGAAAATGTAATGATAACGATAGAGTTGCCAGCTGTGTTGCGTCCAAGAAACTTATTTTATGTGCTTTAGATACTCGCAAATTGGCCACGTCATGACACTAGTACATAGTAAACACAGATAGACGAGGTATTTAATTGCGTTGACACTAGCAGAATTCCATCAAGAAAAGCCACAATATAAAAAAGAAAAAAAATAACAGATATTTGAGCCGTCAACTAATATTATTTTTAACATGAAATCATGATAACGAAGAGCAGTTCATAAGGACAGGATATGTTTTTAATGTTTCGATCGTATGTTCCAAAAGTAGTGCATCTTACGAATTATTTTAGACCAGTGTCACTGGAACTTACGTTAGTAACAATATGACTAATTAACAATTTTTTCACATTATATCTTTAGTGTAATAAAAAAACAATATAAAGGCATCGTGATAAAAAGTTAACACAATTTTCATAATAACTGACTTGGCTAAATTTTTCAAAACAATATATATATATATATATATATATATATATATATATATATATATATATATATATATATATATATATATATATATATATATATATATATATATATATACCTCCTCACATTTAAAGAAGGTTTTGAATAGCGGGCCATGCTGTCTTAATATGTGTTTACATTTCTCTTGAGATAGTTAGACCTTAAATAGCTTCAATATATTATTAAATACTTTTACAGTTAAGAAGGGTCTGCCTTATTTTATAATAAATTCACGCATTGCTTTCAGATGCCCATATTTTTTTATCTTTAAAATATATATAGAGCAAAATGTTAAAAAAAAAACAGAAAAATCAAATTGTACATAATCATTAAAATTGAGCAAAATTTTTTAATTTTTTTTTATAAACTGTTGCTATACAATAATTAATCATTTAATAATGTTAATAAGAAAATAGATGATGAAATAAAATATACTGTAGAAAATATTCATCAGCATTGAGTATTAGTTTAAAAAAATTACTTTTAACCGGCTTCAAAAAATGAGAAGGTACTCAATTTGACTGTATGTTTTTTTTATGTGTGTAAAATCAGAACTTTTTTCTAGGTGAACCGATTTTGATGATTCTATTTTTTTATTTGAAAACTGATGCTTTTCATGTGTTCCCATATAAATTTGATCAAGATCTGACCAGTAGTATTTATTATAGGGTTATCCTAAATAATGCATATTTAATTGACTTTGACTACATTGATGTTCGCATTATATTTATATTGAAGTCGGTTGTATATTTTTTGATTTTACCACTTGTTAATTATACTTATTAAGAAACTAGCCCTAAGCCCATATAATGGTAGCTTACTCTATGGTAAGTGGCCCCAGTGCAGTCCAGCGAACTTGAAGCCAATTTCGCCAATTTCAATTTATAACAAAATAGGAATGCCTCATAGACCCCGTAGACATAGTACCCCACAGTTAATCTATATCCCCACCTCCACCAAAAAATCATAATTTCCCTTTACTGTCTAACCCTTGTAAGCCATACAACAAAAAGTTTGCTATATATGGTGCTACCTTCTCCGGATGCACCACATGTTCATCATGGTGCCCGGGCACATCTCTCACTCTATAATTACCACCGGGATGTGTTGTCTCATCCAGCATAAACTTTGTCGTATCATATTTTCCTTGTCTAACTGACTCATCCATTACTATTGCAAGTATAGGCGTTTTGATACTTGTATATAGATCTTTTAGCGTACTGGGTGACAGTGGGTAATGCAAAAATGTTTTGAGACGCTGGTCAAACGTATATCTGAAACAAAAAATAATGTATTTTTTTATAGTATAAAGTAACAAACGAGCACAGTCCACCTGATGGTAAGTGGATACTGTGGCTCATACACATCTACATTTATCCTCAATTAAGTTATGATAGACTTCGATTGGCCTTTCACAATAAAGCCCTACCTAGTGCCACTGTTTACAACTAGTTTAATGAGTTTTAACATGGTCGCACTAATCTCACCGATGATCTGCGTGAGGGATAGCCTTCTACGGCGACGACTGAATATTACATCAGTGCGGAGTATGATAGAGACTGACAAAAGAGTGACTTATCAGCAGATTCGGACATACTTAGGCATGATGATGATGATGAGATGAGTCAATTGCACAAAATCCTCCATGAACATTTAGCGGTCAGGAAGCTCTGTGCCCGGTGGACACCTCAAAATTTGATAGAGGCCCAAAAACTCCGTCGTGTTGATTTGTGTTGTGAAATGGTTCAACCGCAAGCAAGCTGAGGATTGACAACCGTCGTTTTTTTATTTTTAGTCATTATTAAGAAAACGCTGCTATCTCCTCATTTTTTTATAACGTTGGGTGACAAACGCGCACATAGTTCACTTGATGGTAAGTGGATATCGTGGCCCATAGACATCTACATTTATCAAAACGTAGAAGCGTTTTCACCCCTGAGGACTAAGATGGAATGTCTCGTTCCTAGTAAAAAAGTCTTAGACTCTCTACACTCACCATACGACCCACAAGCAGCATTAAGCTGCTATTTTATGCTAGAATTCTGTGATAGCGTGGTCCCACTCCATTCGAGCAGAACCATTAGTGCTACAACCATAACATAGCTGCAGCGTGGCTCTACCACGTTCAATCTGGTGTAAAATGCATAAAAGACAAAGTCTAGATTTTAAGTAGTGCTCCATAAAACAAAATGAATAAAGTTATAGTGTATCTAGCCTATAACATAAATACACGAGGGATCCACTCCCCCCCCTCCCTCCCCCCGTCACACAGCAACGCCACTCAAAATCAGTTCCGCTGTTAAGGAGGAGGTCAGTTACATACATACGGAGATAAGAATTATAAATACTCGATGACATTTTTTACTGTCTGGAAAAAAGTAGGGTGTAACATGTGAACGGAGTAGAAGCCTATGGCATTGATATTTTACAAGAAATAGAAACAAAAATTTTGAATTAAATAAATAAAAATCTATCGAAATTCAAATCATATCCACCCTACAATACTTTACGAACGGCAATAAAACAATAAATTTAGTAGGCATCTTTGACCTTGTCACTTCACAGGGTTACAGGCTCAAGGACAAAGTAATTTTTATAAATTTATTTTATTATAATCGGTTCAACCATTCCGAATATTATGGAATGGGAATTTTATGGGGATTGAAGGGTTAATTCTCATAGATGGCAATGCATCTGTAGCTTTCATTGTTTGAAGTTGGCTGCTAGTGTCCAGGGGCTGTGCGGTAGCCACTTACCGTCGTTCGTCTGTAATTTCAATTTTATAAACCAAAAGACCTTTAAAACGGTGTTTACCTAATATAACCGTCATCGGTGGGCGTCGACCATCTTGCTAATGTCGCTTCTGCTGTTTCTTCAGTGATACGACGATTCTTCACGAGTTTGGCGATTACCTGAAATTTAATTACCATTCATTCAATTTGTTGGCATTTCCTTAAAAAATATTTTTTAATCATTTATTAATAAATAAAAATTTGTAAGTAAATTCAATTTCCTCTAATATTAAATTTGATTTTACTAGTTATTTTAATTTTTTATCTAGTAGCTGGGACCCGGCGCGTTGATGCCGAAAAAGAAATAATTGGACGCACAAGGGGCGTTTAAGAGGGCATATGCGTTTCGCATCGAAAACTACATGTTTTATGGTTTTTCCAAAGGCGATATCGTAACGACGTGAGGAGATTATTTGCTGAAAATTAGGGCTTTAGAAAGATGAAGTCTTTATTTAGTACATAGCAATGCAAAATCATAGTTTTTAATGACGGTTTTTTAGGGCGAAGACAATCCCTTCACAGCGTTTTACGAAAATATGCATCAGAGTTATCTTTCAGGTTGAATACAACCATTATTATAAGCTTAAATACTTTATTTTAAGCGTTATTATAATGGAATATATAGTCTTTTAGTGTATAGCAAAACCTAAATTACGAAAATATTTCGATTTAATATTATAAAAAAATCACCAAAACCGTCTACTTCAATGTAATTTTTTCCATGTATTTGCTTATAAACATATCTATTTTAATTATTTTATTAAAATACATGTAATGTTAAATATCCAAAAAAATTTTAGCTCGTTTTATTTTGTCAATTATTTTATATAATTATTTTAAAAATACTATAAAACATCATATGCAGACGCGTCTCGATTCAGTACGCTCCGGGTAATCCCAACGGCAGGACGTATTACTTTTTCTCACCGACACCGCGCGACCGCGTTGATATACACCGATAGGGTTATAGTACACTATACTATAACTAGATACCTATAGCACCATAACTATTGAGACTTTTAAAAGCGATATTTTTGGTAGTAAGTAATTTTGAAATATGTTCATGATTGTAATATTTAAATATTAAATGATGTAATGGTGGCAAATTTTCATTTCATACATATTTTTATAGAAATGAGAAATGAACGTAAGCAATTCGATCAAGTAAAAATACAAACTCGTTGGCTTTCACCTTTGGCTCCGTGGCGGAGTGACTTGGTAATGAGTTGTAGCGCTGAGCGCCGCGGGTTCGAATCCCACATGGAACAAAAATTTGTATTACCTATAAATAATTGTTCCAGGTCTGGATGTTTGTCCTTGTGAAATTAATGTATTTAAACTGCCCTCACGATGTACTTAGGAAAAATTCCTAGTGTGGAGATAACGTTATGATTAAACAAAGACATGCCATCAAAAACATAACTTGTAAAATAACCAAGTCTCGCAATGATGATACGGCCGTGCCGCTGTTTTGCTCGACTTGGCAGGGGCACTACCGTGCCCCCAGATATAAAACATATGAGCCGTGCTTGAGTTGAGTAGCTCAAGGGCGTAGTGCTCGCCGTAAACGCGAACAATCCGGGCTCGATCCCCGCTAGTGTTGCCAGGTGTCCCGATTTGCGCGGGACGTCCCGATTTTCAAGGGTCTAGTAACACGACCCGATTCACCCTTGATCGGGACGCCAAATGTCCCGATTTTCACTAACCTTCTTATTTTATACTTTAATCCATAATTTTGACAGCAACAATGATTACATCTGTTAGCTACTACCACATTAAAATATTTTTACTACGACATTGTCTCACCAGTCGAAAAAAAACCACAAAAGTTTTAAACAGAATTATATTAAAATGAGTGATTTGAAAAATTCAGGGACTGCAAAAAAAAAAACAAATAGTTCAAAAATGTTTTAATTTGCCTAAAATTAATAAAAATTCAGTTTTTACGATGTTTGGATGAAAAGTTATTCGTTTATGAGATCAGACCCGAATAATAATTATAAAGCACAAAAGTAAAGTAAAGCTACAGTCACAATTTCTCGCATTACTCGCATACTGTGATATTTACAGTGAGCGTTGACCATCTGAGCTACCACGACTCTCAATAAAGCATAAAAAGGCTACAAAGAAACCTTTATTTTGTAGTCATTGTAGTTGTCCGGATATGAAAACCAAATCCCCGATTATTTTTACCTTCCGTCCCGAAATTTTACTTGCTAGACCTGGCAACACTAATCCCCGCCGACACTAATGAAATTGTTAGTTTGATAATTTATGTTTACATTATGAAACAGAATAAAGGTTTATCAAATGATATATATTTTATACAATACATATTTTTCAATTAGAACATATACATATTACAATATACTCAATAGGGTGAAAATGTAAAGCCGACTTCAATTTACTAAAAGAATAAAAACAATTTCCACATATTAGCCTCCGATTTCTATACACTATATGAGCCATTATATGGAAATTATTTTTTATTATTTTAGTTTCCAATAGTATCAAAGACAGGTATATAATCAAAGATCAAAGTGATTCGTAGTCGTCGTTAGGCAACTATTATAGCCTCACGCTCGCACTGACACGCACACAGAGATAACATTGTAGTGTGCGTCAATATTACGCCGTTCCAAAGCGATCGCGTAGATTTCGACTTGGACATATTTGAATATGCGCTCTTAATGTATTCTCAGTATGTAAGAAAAAAAGACTGAAATATATCTTATTTTTCAATATAGTTTCCATTGACATCAATACATTTACTTGTATGTGAAAAGATTTTCTATTCTCTTGAAAAAATATTTTTTGTCTTGGCCTGAGAAATGCTCATTTACAGCGGACTTGAGCTCATTATTGTCAGCGAATCGCTTTCCCCGAAGTCTTTTTTAAGTTTGGAAATAAAAAGAAGTCACTTGGGGCTAGATCTGGACTGTATGCTGGGTGGTTAATTTCCTCAAACCCGCAGTCTCGGTGCGTTGTCATGAAGAAGCGGCGCTCCCTTGGTCAGTTTTCCTCTTCTCTTTTCTTTTATTGCTTCTCTCGAACGGAGTAAAGTGGTTGAGTATTTGTTTGCGCCGATGGTTTCATCTTTTTCTTTTGTGTACTCGATCAATGGTATTAATTTGTAATCGTAAAACAATTTGTCTATGATTTTATCGACCGATGGAGGGGACTTTGAACTTCTTGGGGGCGGAGGTGGGGTCTGATGCCTTTTTATGTCATTGCATAGACTCCTGTTTACTCTCAGGGTCATAGTGGTGAACCCACCTTTCATCTCCTGTAACTTTTTCTATCGAAAACACTTGTTGGGTCGTCATCACACAGCTCTAAAACTCCTTACAACAGTCAACCCGCGCCTGCTTTTGTAGCGCATTGAACATTCGTGGCACCCTTCTTGCATTGACTTTTGTGAAGTTGAGATATTCATGCAATATGGTGTGTATGGAACCAACAAATAGGTTAGTCATTTCTGCTAACATCTTAATTCTTACTCGTGCATCTTCTAATACAAATTTTTCAATACATAATACATAAACACTCAAATCTGTCACCCAGAGGGGTAGGCAGAGACTAGAGACTTCCATTTAGCACTCTCGCCTCCTCCACATCCATACACTTACGCACACATGCTCGCCGGTTAAGGGTACTCTTAATTTGGCCTATTTTTAATATATCGCTAATTTGGTCGACAAACTTTCGCCTACGACGTCCCTTTCCGACTCTTCCATTCACTTCTGCAACATATAGTCTTGTTAAACGGTCCCATTTCTTCATGAATGTTTTTTTGAGTTCTCGTCGTCTAAGACTGAAGGTTACATAAGAAGTAATGAAGTTATCGAGAAGATTTTTCATATTTATACCTTCAGGTAGTGTCGTTAGCTAATGATATTTTTAATTACCCATATTATTAGTAAACCAACCTAATACCGACGATACATTGAACGCCTCTCGTAGTTACGCAAAAAAGATCCAACTCACAGTCGGGTCAAAATGAGTTATGTATTCAAAAAAAAAAACTCTTGGGTAGATCCATTCTTTCATAGAATTAAATAAATTCCAACAAAATATCAGTCAATAGAAAGAAAGAGAGTTTGTTATCACTAAATGACATGATTTTTTTATTAAAAATACGTTTCCACACTAAGAAACTTCTCAAGAAGACTTCAAATTTTACAATAATTTAGAATACTTTTGTAGGTTAGATCCTTTTTGCATAACAACGTCCAATTGTGAAAATTTATAATGTGTAATGAAGAATGATTATACATTCATTGAAACTGAATGATATATAACTTTCAAATAAATTCGCCGGCACAATACGCGCGCCGCCTACTGTACTATGCGTATAACGTTCGCGCAAGTGCAAGCAATAAGTTGACAAAGTTTTATCGCAATCTGATGAACGGTAAGGCGGCGCATAAAATACGAATAAACAAACATTAATTATTGTATATTAGATTTGGATATTTTTATTTTCTTTTAACAAATATTAGAATTCAAACATCATAAAAGGCCTTCCCGAGCTGCCACTCCGAATTGGCTTAAGGAGCCCACTTCGTATATGCGTTGGTGGGCTGCGGCGAGAGGGGTGTCCTCTCCCCCGAGAGCTGCAGCCAAGGTGGAGGCGCGGAGGGAGAGGAGCAACTCTGATGGAGCCGCACCGTTGATGCGACGTTGGTAGGGCTGCGGGGGCAGAGGAGTTCCGGTATTGCGAGGCGCCGTTCTCCTTACCATCCGCAGCCGAATCTTGGTTGGCGGCGAGGTCATAGACCAGATCCGCCGCTAGGATCAGGGAGGCTAGTGCTTTTGGGTGCTCGTTTTTCCTGGCCCTATGGCCTTCGCACATCGGACGCTAGGGTGTCCGTTGCGCAGATGAAGTTGGAGGTCGCGGAGGAAGGCACGCCATAAGTTCTGGTGCACTTTACCTGAGAAGGATATGGGCGAAAGTACTTGGAGTAGGGACGGCGCTGGTGAAGCCGTGGATGTGTGCGAAAGCGTTCGCGTGGTCCTGCCAACATACGGCGAAGGTGGAACACCATGTGGTTTTAGTCGGTGCGAGTCCGACATAACCCGTTCCTGCCCCTCTCCCCCCGCGCGAGGCGGGTATGCGTAGGCATTTACCCGTGTAAAAAAGGACTCCTTTCCTGTTTTGGAGTACGTCATGGTAGGTATTACCCTCTTATGTATCTCTGCCGGGAAATTTGCCGACGTACTGCAGGGTATACATTGCCAGTATACATGCTGTGAGGCGTTCTCTGACATCTTCGTCCTCATAAGTGACAACGTATCTTTAGCCTTCCATGTTAGCTGCAGAAGCTGGACTGTGAGTTTGATTGTCACTTTTTTCATAGGACAGGGTGACAAACAAGCACACAGTCCACCTGATGGTAAGTGGCCGCTGTGGCCCATAGACATCTACATCTATCCTCGTTAGGAATCAAAATACAGATGCGTTGTTACCCGTGAGGACTAAGACGGAATGCCTCGTTTCTAGTAAAAAACGTCTCCGGTTCTCTACACTCACCATACGAAACACAGCAGCATTAAGCTACTATTTGACGCTGGTATTCTGTGAGAGCGTGGTCCTTCCCCGGTCGAGCCGACCCATTCGTGCTACAACTATATAACTGCAGCATGGCTTTACCACGTATAAAAACTTAAGTTATATAAAAGAAAAAATTGTGCGACTGGAGTTTACTTCTGAAACCTATTGTCTTAAGAACTTAAGATATATACAATATGAAAAGGTAGTAAATAAACCTATATATATTTATTTATATTGATTTGATTAAATATGTAACATAAAAATATATGACTTATATATTACATTATTCTTTGACGTTTGATATTGTACATGTATGTTGAATACCATAGTCAAATTATAGAATAAGTAATGGTCACTATGTGATGCTAGCTACACCACGCTTTCCACATATTTAGAAAGAGTGATAGAGATAGATAGATAGATAGAGAGAGAGAGAGATGCGCAAGTGTATCGCGCAGAGGAGAACCATAATGGCTTCAATTTTTGTTAAATAAAACTATTCTTCATAAACTCCAATAAAATAAAATAAACGGTATTTATTTTTAGAATTTGACAATTACGTCAGTTTTTTACAAACTTCTCGGATTGTAATGTTTATTATATAATATAGGGCCCAGGTGGAATATTGGCTTGTTTGTGTATTGGACACATTGATAACTTCAATTTTTAGTAGTCAGTTAAACAACAATTATCCATCACTTACCTCCTCTTTCTTGTACTTTGTTCCTAGTTCTTTTGGCACGTTGTAATTATCATAGTTTTTTATGTATTTCTTCAAATTCTTCATGTACCTGTAATAAACATCGTAAATTATTAATTAATATGTGAAGGTAAAACTTTGTACCGTTTTTAATATTGCTCGTGCGTGAGGAGTGTGAGATTTAGCATAGTCAAAGTTAGAAAACCCAATAACCGACTTCACCCATTAACCTGTATATGATCAGCAAACGCGTTTACGGCCACTAGACCAACGAGGCAGTCAATTAGGATCGCAATAACAGCGCCTTCAGCGGTTCAATAGTGAACCTAAACAATCCACCAACCAACCTTGTCAACGATCCAACTCAAACATATACAAAAAATTACATCAAAATCCGTCCAGCCATTAGTAGTTTAATGAGAAACGCATGTACAGAATAATTATATAGGAAGTGGCGTAAAGAGTATAAAAATGTACCCTGGAAAAGTCTCACAGTTTTTGAGTTATGGGGCATTTACGAAATTTTCTAAATTATTTACTCTTGCCCATTCTTTTTGGTGTCAAGATCACAAAGGAAGGAATTTTATCGACCAGTTTTTTTTGTGGTTTTCTTTAATAGGTACACTATCAAATACTAACTGCCATTTTGGTGCCTAGTCTACAGTTTATTTTTGAAAAATATTTTACAAATCAAAATATGTTTTCCAAAATTTTTCCAAGTTTGACCTCTTTTAGTGTAAAAAAATGTATGCGACCGTACAGTTTTTACAAGAGTAAATAACAAGATTAATTTGATAATGCTGCTGTGTTTCGTATGGCGAGTGTAGAGAACCAGAAACCCTATTTACTGAAAGCGAGGCAGCATTAAGCTGCTATTTTACGCTGGTATTCTGCGAGAGCGTGGTCCTTCCCCGGTTAAGCCGACCACAATATAGTTGCAGTGTGGCCCAACCACGTAAAATCTCATACTAGCTTTAGTATCTCTTATGCATAGAAAATTTAAATAGTTTAACCTTTACCATATTGAGAAACTCTTGGCCGGGATTGCAACATGGTCAGTAACGGGATCCAGGACGATCAGCTTGGAAATTTCGTCTGGGAACGCGAGCGCGTACATTAATCCTGTGAAAAATAAATATATGGAAGGTTGATATGCCGGCAAAATGTTATTGTTATGAGGATACCTTGAAAATTAATCGTAGTTTTGGGGGCGTGGCTTATTCCTTTGTCGGTGAAGCTAACGGATAACTGAGGGAGTGTAAAAATGAAAGTGATGCAATGACTTTATAATACGCAAATTATGAGATAGCAATACCGAGCAAGCGCTCGGACAAAAACTGAGTAAGCGCCAAATAATATTTATTTATTTTAACAAAACCACGTGCGGTCCGTTAGTCTCGCAAAAACTTGAAAATGTCTCCACTAATTTCGATGAATTTTTTCGTGTGTTTGATTATTTAGATTACAATTTTAACGGGTAGGTGGCGCTGTTATCGAGGTCTAGAAATTACCCATGCGGATCCGGGGCAGATCGCTAGTATCTAAACTATTGTCCAAAAGTATGCAGTTTTTTTTTGTGAAATCTTTTATTTCTAAGGTTTACCAATATCGCACATTGTTCTCGATTTAATAGTAAAAAACTGAGTATAAATAATATAGAGGATAAAAACTTGGGTAAAGAATAGTTTTTGTCAAACAATTTAACGTTAATCTTTAACATTGTTAAGCTATTCGGTTGATTCGACTTGTATTTTTAACGAAGTACTTGAAATTACAACGACGACGACGCTGTGTACATTTCAAGTCCTACACCCTTCACTAATTATTATTTTATTCATTATTAGCCTATAAAAGTACACAGGTGGATACAGACATATGCACCCAAACCACAGTTAATATATAGGAACAGTACGGAAACTACCTACAAACGCTCAAAACGGCACACTCACACAAACATGCTCAACTACGAGACTCCTAAGCGGACGTCGCGGTGCTCTCAGTAGCGAGTCAATACGAGTTGTCACGTTTTAAGTTTATCTCCGCGATCTTTTTAAAAATGCCCCACGAACGTATTACGTATGCTCCCGCCAAAACTTGTAAAAGGTTGCGCCGTAATGACAAAGTTAATGATCTAAAAAAAGCTCTACAAGTTGTTGTATGTTAATATTAAATTGTTTTCCGTGTTTAAACTATTGTCTTTCTGAGATTAACCGACGCCCATTACCTACTTAAATTGTATTTGTAAGCTAATTATTTAAATTCCATTGATTGATCACTACATAACAAAAATGTAAAAAAAAATATCAATAACATTAAAAATCACAACCCTATCGCTTCCATCGAGCGTAAGTAATTATGTCCTCAACTAGGCTTAGTTTCCTTACTGTACATATTTATATTGTGCCCAAACCTTGGTTGCAAACACAAACACACTTATACACCACGCACTTACACACACACGCACGCACGCACGCACGCACGCACGCACACGCACACACACACACACACGCACACACACACACACACACACACGTTGAGGTGTGCACGTTAACGTCAACGTTACGCACAACCAATCAGCGCGCGGCCGACCCCAGCAGGCTCGTATGGGAACTCAACGCCTTCGCGACCCCAGCCGTGGGAATAAATATCGAGTATTCAGTTGCTGCAAAGAAAAGCTCCGGACAACAATCAAAAGAAGAAATCCCTCAAGTGCTCTCTATTGTATATATAAGAATTATAACTATAGTTTAGTTTAGTACTGCCGCGACATTGTTATAAATAGGAAATAAATAGATAGTCTCGTTGTATTCTTTGATTGAACGTCCCTAACTAGTCAGTCTCACATATTTAATTATACAGTCCATTAGTTCAATTTAGTTATCGAAGTTAAAATCACTCATACATAGTCCTCTTGCTCTTTGTAAAGGTGTGTCCACGCGCGACATTCGCGGACCCAAGTTGACGCGCGACTAGTTTATAGTCTACTGCGCGGCATTGCTGCGCATGAAAATCGCTCTAGTAAACAAGTGCCTTCACTATAATTTTTATTAGAGAAAAGGTAAGGTAAGGTAGCCCAAAATAAAAACATATTTTAACGCTAAGGAACGGTTCCGTTTTTAAAGTTATAAGTTTACAAAGAGATGCATTTTGGAACTACCTATTTTAAAAAGATACAATTAGGTTTAACTTTTTTACTATTAATAAAATATAATTATGTTTTTTCTATGTTTCTTTCCCTTCTATAAGACCTCAAAAGACTTTTCATTTTCAATTTTAAAGCTGCTTTTGGCTGTACGCATTTTTTTTCTATTTCATACCTTAGATCCTCTCCTACGTTATTATTGTGATACTAGCTTTTTACCCGCGGCTTCACTTGCGTGGGTTTGAATTTAGAAACATCGATCTTACCGTACATACATACATTACTATTTTATACTAAAATTAACAAAACAAGATCACTTTTAGAGACACCTCGGTATCTGTGTCTATATTGGCAATATTATAGGCTACAGAAACACATAAGTTAGTTTATCAGAATCGCATTAATATCATTACGTCAAGCAACACCTTTTTTATATCGAGCACGTCTTCTGATATATTTTTATGAAGGGAAAATTTTCCTGGAATCTGAAATGCGTTATTAATATAATATGCATAATTAAAGTTGATATAGTTTTGATAAAATAAGATTTAATTTCATGGTATTTATTAATATTGGTACCATTGAATATTGTTTAGCACCACATGCCAGTATTTTTTTACGTTCGAGTAGTCATCGAAATTTCATAAATGTAGTTCTATTTACGCTGAACGTGTAAGAAGAATTAAATTCCTGCACAGGAGTAGAAATCTACATAAGACGGGAAGCAGCGTCTTTCTGATCATTAGACATGTGTCAATCATGCACGATTCGTTCGTTTGAGCTGGTACACTAAAAAGTATTGATGGTTCATTCATTTGTTTTTGAATGTACCAGTACAACCAATCACAAACAATTGACGGTACCTTTTTAACCCGCGATTTATTTGAATTGTGAATGAGTTGTAAACCGACCGAATCCCGAACGATCTTAATTAATAGGCGAATCGAATTAACAATGCAGACTGCAGTACATAGAATAGAGTAATATATACACAGAACACCATTACTCCTAGCGGAGAATATATACGGAAACTGCAGAGTAACAGGAGTATTCATTATTTAAGGGTTTTTGAATTATAATATTGTTACCTAAATTAAAAATTATTTTACATTTTATTATATTTATTTGTTAAATCTATGAGTTAAAAATATCATTTCGTAGAGTTTACTAAAAATAACACTTCAAAAGTTTTGATGATAAATGATTTATTTAATGGTAATTTTCAACCATCTTATTATATAAGTTAGGTAAAAGTTTAATTTCGTAGCATATAAATGTTACAATCACTATTTTCAGACATATAAAGTAAGATGATATTGTGTATTGTTAGGAGTGAAATTTAAGAATAAACCAATTTTTTAAAATATTTAAAATATATGATAACTTGAGGTTTTTGTTTTTATGCCATCTAGCGTCGATTGGTCTTACCACCTTGAAAGTTAATAAATTTTAGTTCGATAAAATGACTTTATTACCCATAGCATGTAGTAGATGGCTATCTCAAATAGAAAATTTTCGGTTCCTGAAATGATCCATTTGAATGATCGTTCCGAATGTACCAGTACGCGTGACGAAATGTACTAGAATGATCCGGTCGCTAGAAATGAGTGATTTACACATGTCTACTGATCATAGCTCAAAATAATAAAAATATGCAGTAAAAATGATTTCCAAAACATTTTTTTATTTCTCAGATATGCAGGTTTCCTTGCGATGTTTTCCTTTACGAATATCTTTTTCTTTTTTTAAACTTATTTTGGATTTTGTTTATAAATATTTTAAAATATTTTATTTATTAATAAAACACATCAATCGTATAAAATAGAAATTAACATCCAAAGGAAGGAAAATACTACCCTCCTTTTTTGTAGTCTCGTAATCTGATAAAAAGTAGCCTATAAGTAGCCCCGGCTCCCTATTTACCTACTCACAACATTTCATGGAAATCTGTTAAGTAGTTTTCGTGCGAATCTTAAATAAACAGACAGACAGACAGACATACTAAAAACCACTAATGTGGCTTTAGTGGCCTTATTCAGTGGCTTTATTTACACCCCCTGGACTTGTTTTTTCCAGAAAATATTATAATTATAGACTCGACTTTTCTATAGATTTATTATATGTATAGATTGTTTACGTCTAGCATCACATTATGGACTATAGGAGACATACATTTCAATAAGACGAATTGCTGTTTCGCTATCCAGTTTACTTAATAAAACACGTCCGTCTACACACAACCACCGGCGAACCAACAGTCAACACAACCGTTCGGCGATCGCAACGTTCGCCGCGCGCGGCAGGTTGCTCGCGGCTGCCGCGCTCGAATGCCGCGCTGTATGCACACCTTAACTGCAGGATCGATATCAACAATAATGAAAATTTAAAGATCACTAGCCTGCCAGGCAGACGTTGTTCTGCCCTTTTCGACGACAATTTGTCATTTCCTATTAAAAAACCTTAAATTCGCAAAAAAATAATGTAGGTCACTCATGGGCAAAAAAAATCCTATCTCTCAAGTTGGATCAAACTGCACACATTGTGAAAATTTTATTAAAATCGGTTAAGTAGTTTAGGAGTCCATCGCGGACAAACAATGTGGCACGTAATTTATATATATTAAGATATAACAAAAACCCTGTGGTTCCCGTTAACTGCGTGATCAGAATCAGTATATAGAAATAATTTTTCGAAAAAAAAAAACACATTTAAAAAAAATTAATTTTAATAATTAAGTATTTCTTTATAGGATAGGGTGACAAACGAGCACTCAGTGCACCTGATGGTAAGTGGTTGCTGTGGCCCATAGACATCTACATCTATCCTCGATTACAAATCAAAATGCAGATGCGTTGTCACCCGTGAGGACTAAGATGGAATGCCTCGTTTCCAGTAAAAAGGGTATTGTATGTGGTTTTTTTATCTCTGCATTGGCCGAGGAGTAAGAGGATTGTCAAAGACCCCGCATTACCGATACTCG